TTGTTTCATTTGAGTTTGTGTTATTCGGTAAATGAATTTGTTAATCTTGTGTGAAATTCCTTAATTTCTGGTTCGAAGCGTGAATTATTGGAAGAATTGAGGAAATCGTGTGAAACCTGTGAGGTATGCGTGTTATGTTTATGAGTTTTAACAATTAATGAAATGAATTCGAGACGAGTAACAGAGAATTGAAAAAAATTTGGGAAATTTTGTTTCATTTGAGTTTGTGTTATTCGGTGAATGATTTTGTTGATCTTGTGAGAAATTTCTTAATTTCTGGTTCGAAGCGTGAAGTATTGGAAAAATTGAGGAAATCGTGTGAAACATGTGAGGTATGCGTGTTATATTTATGAGTTCCAACAATTAATGAAATGAATTCGAGACGAGTAACTGAGAATTGAAAAAGAATTATGGGAATTATGTGAGGAATGTGTGTTATATTTATGAGTTTCTACAATTGTTGAAATGAATTCGAGACGAGTACTGAGAATTGAAAAAAATTTGGGAAATTTTGTTTTATTTGGGTTTGTATTATTCGGTGAATGATTCTGTAAATCTTGTGGGCAATGCACAATTTCACTCTTGTTGAATGTTTCTACATTATTTGTAACAATTTGAGATGAATATCTCAAACCTGAAGGAAGTTGATGGATATTTCTTAGTTTTGTGATACACGAATTATAATTCTTATAAGAAGAATTGTAGAATTCCTGTGAAACATGTGAGGTATGCGTGTTATATTTATCTGGTTGAAGCTGGGATGATTCTGCAACCTTGTTAGGAATCACACGTTAAAAGGTAAGACCTCGTTAGTCCTTAGCTCGCACAAGTTTCTCAACTTCTGAGAGTTGTTGTTGGGGCGACAGCTGATTAACTAACGAAAAAACAGATTTTAAACAGAAACAGATTAAATTAACGCAATTTGAAATATGATCATCAAAGGAAATAGTTTCATCAACATATAATCCTAAAAATGTTTTTGACTCCAAGCTGATTGTCGAATGACCTAGCATAATTTCATTGAAAACATACCTGAAAGACAATACAACTCTATGTGCTTATGAAAAATAACATATATGCTTCACAACCTTTTAATTCTATGTAAATCGACCTCAATAAAATCACTGAGTTTGTTATTGTTCCTTTTATGCTGAACTACTATCGTATCATCAGCAAATACATTAAATTCTACTTTAATATCAATGAGAGCCAGGACATATCATTAACAACAATAGGCCGAGAACAGAACCCTGAGGTACTTCACAAGTCACTGATTCACCGACTGGGATTTGGAAGACTCATAGCTTTCTTCTTTTCCATCTTCCAAAAAAAAAAAAAGTCAATTCTACCTCTTCATTCGTTATATTGAGTAGCAATCCGGTTAATGATACCCGATTCAATTCCATAATGAATGTTTTGGAGTACAAACTGGATAGGAAGAAGTGTTTTTTGTATAATTCGATGTTCACATTAAAGTAGATAGTTGTTTCGAAAGTACTTTTTCTTTCGTGTAATTCAATGTTCAAATGAAGGTAGTTATTTCAAGAAGGCTTTTCCTTTGAGTTTGTGTCTGATAGTTAATTCTTTGCATGATCTACAGATCTTTGTACCTAGTTTATTTAGACAATAATTGCTTAATTATTTTCTTTTGATCAGGACCAAGTACTGGCCTAACATAATTTTTTTGTTGTTTACTTCCATTTTTCAATTATGTAGAATGAAAGAAAATACCAACTACATTCATCTGTTATATTTACCAATGATCTCTAGTGCCATTGTCCGTCATTTACGAAGAATACTAATTATATTATACTGGTGATAACTCAAAGATGAAACATTATTTCTCATTTTCAGATGACTTCCAGAAGTTAATATACACAGATCCAAACAGGGATTTATTTTCAGTTACTTTATCTACTTTACTGCCGGATGTAGAATCTCTTTATCTGAATAATTCTCCGACTGGAACTTTGATTCACAATGAACAAGAAGATAACGAAGAAGTTGAAACTGCTGGTGAAAAATATCTCGAAGAATTTTTGTATATGTAATAAAGCTGATTGAACTCAAATAATTATTATTTAGTCTCATTCATTAAATCAAACATGGGTTGAAGTATATTAGGTGTACAGGGTGTGCAGTATTAAGCAGCCATGAAGAGAGGCGGAGAATGAAAATTCAATCATGAAATGAAAATTTTACAAAATGGTTTCTACATCATTTGTAACAATTTGTTATGAGTATCTCAAAACTGAAGGAAGTTGGTGGAAATTCCTTAATTTTTGGTTCGACGAGTGAATTAGCGGTTAATTAATTTCATACAGAATTTCTACATCATTTTCAAAAACCATAATTTGACACTTTTATTCAATACAATATTTTATGTTCGTATTTAGATCTCCTCAACCGTTGCTTCGTCGCCTTTGATACTGTTTAACGCAGTAGTAGACGAAACGTCGGTCATAAAAACCTGTAGACTACTGCCAAAAACCATAAAAATAGCTTTGACACAAACTATACATTTTTAACCAACTGAATAGTATTTGTATAGTAATTTTTCTCAACAAATGTTTGGCGTGATTCTTTAAATTAACTTCTTTTTATTTATTAACCGCTTTCTGGCTATGTAATACGAATGAAGGTCTCGAGAAGAAAGTAGGAATCATCAGAAAAAATCTTCAACGAAATGGTTAGTCCAAAGGGATAGTGGAACAGACTTTGGCTAGAAGACAGCAAAAGCTTCATATGGAAGACTAATGAAAATCCGCATTGCCGAGAATAAAAAAATACACAGCGAGGAGAAACCAGCAAATCGGGAATAGCAGAGCATGTTTGGAATCATCAACATAACATCAATAAGAGATCCCATAATGAGATCATCCACAAGGAGGAACACTTCTTTGAGAGGAAGTTCAAAGAAGCTGTTGAAGCAGCGTAGAGATACGCAACATATGGAAACCTGTTATCAACTAGATAACGGTCAACACTCCCGCTGAACCGTTGAAGAGGGGATAGGAGAAAGCGCTCGAATGACCTTTAAATAGTCATCTCTCAGCGGAATAGTCCAGACATTAGTTAAGGAAGCTATAGATTATGCTGTAGAGTGTAGACAACCCCTTCCGATATAGAAAGCCTCGAAACTGACGTTTTATTGTGAAAAAACGTTTCATTGTGAAATAACATATTGTGAGACTTTACAAAACAGTGTTTCACTAAAAAACACGTGTTGCGGTTTTGTAAACTGTCCAGTGAAAATCTCACAATAAAACTTGATCGCAATGAAATTTTACTTTGAGATTTCCACTGGATAGTTTAGAAACCTCAACACGTGTTTTATAATGGAACACTGTTTTGTAAACTGTCTAGAAAAGAATCCACAATAGAATATCATTTTGAAATTTTCACTGGACTGTTTACAAAACCGCAACACGTGTTTTAGTATACAATAACTTCCTCGTTCATACTTAGGAGTACGAACACGCCTGAGAAAGCTATTGAAACACGTGTCTCGGTTTTGTGAACCGACCAGTGACAGTTTGAAATCGCAACACGTGTTTCGCTAAGCACTAGCTTCTTCAGGCGTTTATGAACACGCCTAAGAAAGCTCAGGCGTTTATGAACACGCCTGACGAAGCTATTGTATAGCGAAACACGTGTTGCGGTTTCATCAACTTTTCACAATGAAGTGTTACTTGAATACATTGGTACCTTTATTTATACAACAATTTCACTTATTTTAATAAGAATGAGCATTTTTTAAATGAAATAACTTAATTATCTTTCTTCTGGTTCCTGCATAATCCAAATGATTATAAAGTTTTATTATGAATACACGTTTTAAAATTTGGTCTATAGTACCACACACGGCCTAGAGGCAGGTTTCTTATTTTTGCTTTTACTGTATATTCTAATAACTTCCTCGAACACTTCATTTAGTCCTTCCATTTTCAGCGCAGAACATTCCATGTAACCTTGGGCCTTCACTTTCCTCTTCAGTTTTTTCCCTTCTTCTGTCGTATAACACGCTAAACTTGGATCGTCTCGTAAATCGATTTTAGTAGCTAAAAAAAAAAGATATTTGATGACGAATGTGTCAATACGTCTCAAGAATCTAGATAATCGTGGCTCAAATGAAAATCTTTTATTGTTTTCTGGTTCGATAGAGAACTCAATTCACGTATATTCATGAATATGGATGCATATTCCTGCTGAGTTTTCATTAATTTTCATTGAAATTGCTGCCTCCCAATGGGATACCTCATAATATTAAATCAAATTAATTTCTTCAGTAAAATGGTCTTAACAAAAAATACGTTAACATATCACAAATCCCGTATTTGAAAGGTTACTTTGACGTATACACATAAAATTCAAAATATCTGCTAACTCAAAAATATGTTACGTAAGATTTCACTCTTATCTCATCTAATTAAATGCATTAAAGATAAAATTATTAGTAAGTAATCCTTAGAGAAAGTACAGTTATGACATAAACTATATGATATTCAATAATTATCCTATTATGTGTTCTTGTGTTTTTTTAATTGATGTAGATGTGAAAAATATCACCTATATAAAGTCTCAAGTATCAGGAATACGCCAGTTATCACCGAATGACGATTGTGAATTCAAACAATTTTTTTCTATAATTTTTTTATTTCAAATCTAACACCTTGTTTGTTGGGAAAGAGATCAAAAATTTTCGTAGATAAAATTTAGATCATTGCCAACGTTTTCTAATTTTATTAAATCCATCATCAGGCCTCTACAATAAAATGATCTCATAAGGAAACAATTTACATACCAACACATATTGTGGAAAGAATACAACAATAAAAATGAAATAAGTAAAAAATATGTTGAACGGTTTCATTGAAAAATGCACTAAAAACTAAAAAATAATTCGGAAGGGTATAGGTAGCAGTCAGCACACTACTCTCCTCAGCAATCTAAGGTATTGATCAAATAAATAAATAATAAAATCGTTGGGTATTTGTATGGATCATATTTGGATTTTCATCTTTTTCGAAGTGTACTACTATTCTATTAGTCAAGCCCTGTCATTTGATACCCATATTGAAGCAGTTATGAAATAATAAGTAATCCGCCATTTTGTACCCACATCCATCTTGAATTTGCATATTTTTCAAAGTGTACTAGTATTCTACTAGTCAAGTTCAGCCATCTTGGATTAAGAATGATACAGAATTTATTAAATTTTATTGTCATCAAAAGTAAATGCTCCCAAATTTCACCCAAACAAATGAGTAACAAACAAACGAACAGGGCAAGCTAAATAAAACCGTTTAAAAATCCATTATGAGGTTAAAAAAATTATATCACATTGCAATATGTATAGGCATGTATATTGTTTCCTCGTAAAATTATTTTATTGTAGCGCCCCGATGATGGATTTACTAAAGTCCGAAACGTTGGCAATAAACTACAATTTCGTGTATTTTACTATAAATTCATTTATTTTATTTACAGTCATGTTGGATAATTCAGTTAGTTTGGATAATTTTAGTGCATGCAAATCAAATTTTTCTTAATTTTTTTTATCTTTTTATAATTAAATTGAATCTATACATACCTACTAAAAGTATTGGAACGTTCGGCCCAAAATGTCTCACTTCTGGAACCCATTTTAGGGCAACGTTATCGTATGATGCCAAGTTTTTATCGACGGAGAAACAAACAAGGAAACAGTTTGTCTGGAAAAAAAATAATTGATGGATTTCTACAAAATTCAAAACAGTAGTTCTCACAAAAAGTCGCCCAAACTAGCCTCTACAATTAGGCACAAGGTTTATTACAGATTTTTTTTAATTGTANTGTAAACATAAAATGGCAACCATATATTGAAGGAACCACAGACAAAATCAGCAGAAATCTACGCTAACTCAACATAGCAAAATCATTCGTACCAAAACAACACAATAAGGTCCATGCTCCGTTATCCAAAGGATCAGATACCACTACAGTCCAAATGAGTTTACGAAGTGCCATATCAAGACTGTGACAATACTTACATCGGCCAGACTAACAGGCGAATTAACATACACAAGGATGAACACAACGCAGGTGGGGCATCACAGGTAGTGGGAGCACCTGTGTTGGCCCACTAGTCTAGTTCTAAACTCCAGACACCACCAGAAGTCGACAAATGAGATTTTGCCGAAACGTCGTGGAAATGATTCATATGCGGAGCGATACCCGGAAAAACAGCTCATCATATTGGACCAGGAATTGCAAACGGAAACAAGTAAAAATGAGAAATTATTTTTTTTCGTTCAAACTTATCGAACTTCATTTCTTCTTCAGGAACAATAAAATATAGAAAATAACATAATTGGAGAATAACAATAACATCTTAT